TGGGATGACTATTTTTGGTTCTTTCGGTAAAGTCACGTAGACAGAAAAACTATTTATAAAAAAAAAATTGAAGATAAAAGCAAAAAACCCCACAATATAAATTGTAAAATAAAATGTAAAAACTTAAAAATTTAAATAAATAGAAAATAATAAAAGCAAAAAACCCACGACGTTTCGATCACAACACAAGCGGTCTTCATCAGGCGGAGAGAAAAGAGGGGGCAAGCCTCCAAATGCAACTGCTTATAAGGGTTCCAAAGTGAGTGGGCGGGGGACGAAAGCTGCGCAAGCAACACACTAATGCAGGAGCCGCAGATACAGCTTAGGTTATTTTACTATTTTATTTAAAATTTTTATTATTTTTTATTTTTTTTGTTTTCTATCTACGTGACTTTACAGAAAGAACCAAGAATATGAATTCCTGCAGTCACGAAATTTTTAAGTCAAACTTGTGATGACTCTTAGTTGAAAGGCTGGAAATTGAAATCTTGGTCGGTGGTTAAGTCAGACCTTTCATCCCTCTAGGGTCAATGAAAGTATTATATTGTGGATAGTCAACACTGGTTAGCCTTTAGATAGTTTCACCATTCTCATAGCAATGCAGAATTTCCACGACTGGCTCAGGAATATAAACAGGAGATGTTCACCAGTCCACTCCAGTGAGACATTACACTATCTTAAGATGTATGATTACATATACACGTAAGTTCACACGCGAAAGGCGTACATTGCCACATGGCTGCGCAAGCGTATATGAGCGCTGGCATACATTTGGTTATAATTCATGTTAATAATTTTTCTACATTACAACTGTTCTCTGGTAGGCACTCCTGATAAAAATTTAATTTTTTTTTAATGTACGCCCACTACTACAAAGGGCACGCAAAGTACTGTCAAGCAAAGTTACTGGGCCCTGAAGATTTCCATCATCCCCATTGCCATGGCTGCCAAGTGTCTGGGCGCCTATGGAAATTCCACCGTTGATCCCACATCCCCTAGTGAGGGCAGGAATTGCCAGCACGTTGCGTTGGTCATGACCCATGGGGTGAGTGGAGCAGTGGGGATTTCAGGGAGATTGCCTGCAATGAAATGTGCTTTAAGTTGTCCCATGCATACACCCATGCATGATTGACCACCGTAAATTATCGTAAAATAACTTATTTCATTCTTTCTCATATTTCAGCCAAAATAATTTAATTTCCAAGATCCAAGGCAAATCAACGTTTATCCTTGCTCGGACAAGCAATCAGGTGGCACTTCGTGGTGGCACTGAGCTGCTGGTGAAAATTCCACATTCCCCTGACAGGGGCTGTTTCCATAGCGCAACCAATGTTGGCTTCAAACGAAATGATATTCATTGCAATGCCATAATTTTTGCTTTAGCTTCACTTATGCCTATGGACTCTGGTCTCATTGGTTGTGTACGAATCTATAGTCATTAAAAATCACAAGCTGCTTGCGCCACTTGAGAACGAAATTATATCAAACAACTACTGGCCCAAGACCACTTGGAAGATGAGATATAGCACGTGATACCACTCGTAATAAAATACATCAAACACATCTAATTCAGCTCTTTCTCAACTAGATCCATGCAATTGAGCACGGCTCAAGTACGATGCTGCGAAATAAGAATAATAAAAAATACGACCCAAAAAAAGGTGATCGCTATTGCTTATCCCATTGTCTTGTCTCTTCCTGCTTGTTAACATTCACATCAGTCAATTTCAATCAATCGTGCATTGTGGTATGCCTTATGGGAAGGTTCTGCAGATTTAATTGGCTGTGAAAATTACTGTGATGTCAGTATGTAGCAACGTTTATTTGTGAGCGGTAAACCGAAGCATGTTTTTTGCCTTATAAATTGCTTGGTTTTGTGATTAAGCACACTATCTCAACCGATCCAAGCGTTGCTGTATTATGACGTCTTTTCAGTTGATTCTTTGGATTGGTTTGGCAAAACCCTTGTGGTCATGCATTCAACTTTGTGATTGGTTGCGTGCAAGCTTCAATGACCATCCGAGTTTACTGTGGAGTGATGGAAAAATGCAGTTAGCAAGAGTAACAAGCGACAGGTCTGGCCTGCACATTGAACTCACACTTCCAGTAGCATTAAGGCGGTATTCTGTCTATATTCCGATTAATTTAAGAATTATTCTTAAGCCGAACAAGCTGTAAAATGTAGCTTTTTTTCGATACACAAATCTATATCTATACATTGTTTTGCTTGCAGTTCATTTCAGTAAGATTGTTGCTTACATTTTAAAAACTAAACTATGAAACTAAATTAAAGCTGTCCATGTTTTTTTTTACAAATTTCCCAAAAAATATAATGACAATATTGTTAATAATTAGAATTAATGATGCCTAAATTTGGATTTTCTTTGCATTTTATTCTATTTTACGGTTATTAACTGGAGTTTAGCTTTAGGATTCCATAATATTTTCCATTGAAACCAATGTTATTAAACTTTGCAATCAGGAAGTAGTTCTTGCAGTGTCTATGATTAGTTCACGCTTTTTGCTAATGCTAACACACCATTTAATTATCAATAACACAGCATTCAAATTCCCATTTTTTTTTAATTAAATGCTAAAGTACTCTCCTCGATTCTGGATTTATTAATTGGACTGTGCATTTTAATTGACCGCAGACGGCTTTATCGTTGCACATTTGGATGCTGTATTTTTGTGTTAGTTCCGTGATATTATGAACTATATCCCAAATCAAAGTGCACCGCATCCGTGAGATAAATTACACTGCTTTGATCATCACAATGAGCCAGCTCGAGTGATTCAAAGTGTTCATCTCAAGTGCAGCCAAGTGATTTAATGTAAATCTGGAAATAAACCAAGTGTGCATTGGACTGCGTTGACCACATGTAATGTGGCCCTTTTTGAAAACGCTTCGCTTCATTTCACGAATAAAAGCGGGACTCAATTCATCCCTGATCTCACATTCCATGAAGATTAATAGGAAGAACCCTGTTTATGGTATAATTTAGCTTGGACTACGTAAAACATTTTGAGATCCAGCCCCTTTTGACGCACGTGTTCTACTGAGGCTGTGTTAAAGCATTCAACGTCATGAAACTCATCGCTTTGGGGGCTTCACCAAAATGTGGCGCTATGTTTTATGTACCAATAGCATAGGCCACATTTACAAATACTGTGCATATACGGTAAAACGTCTACATTAAACAAACATGTTGTTTTACTAGTTTAACCACTTCTTTTATAGGGTTAGGTATTTGAACCTTATGGCGGGACCCCCGGGGTCCCATAAGCCCCCCCGGCTCTCGCATAAACATATTACAATGTAAACAAAAACGTTGCTCTTTTTCACCAATGGGTTTGAAGGATGGTGGGAAGTGTTGTCTCGTTAAACTATGCCTTTAAAACTGAAAATTACTTACTTGCAGTACCTCTATTTAAATACGCTATCGAATTTTTTTTACACCCCTTTTAATCATCGTGTTTCTTAGTGTGGATTTGTGAACACACTTTGTAAACAGTACATAAAATAGTACACGTTTTCAATGCGATGTTCATATTGTAACAAGCGTTTATACCGATGTTACTCTACAGAGTAGTGGGTCGCCGCTCCTCTTATCCGCATTGATATGAGTGGTATGTGGGGACTATGGCTTAACCGCAAAAAAACCTATCTGCACAGATGCATACAGACAAGAGAAATATTATCAAACAAGAGGAATTAACGGTGAAACACATCTCATCTGTTAAACATCTGCAGATAATAGGATTGTCATCGATTGATCCTGGCTGCAGACATTGGTAGGTTACAAGTAATAATGAAGCTAGAGCAGTTTCACTGTATTATACATTCCGTTATGACAATTAAAGGACTTAAGTCGTGTAGGCAGTTTGAGCAGCTTTGGATAAGACTTATGATCCTACCCATACCCGAACGTGGAGGGCATTCGCTTGTTCAGCTCTTCTGCGCATTCATCCTCGCTGCGCTTGGATGACACGACAACAGAATGGTCCGCACCAAGTGGGTGGCTGCGTTTCTATTAATTACGATTTTGCCTTCCGTTTATTCCGGACCCCGGGGTCCCGCCATAAGGTGAATTTATTGCAGCAACAGATGTATTAATATTCAAGTATATAGCACGCAAGTTTGGGGTCAGCGGACAACATCTCAACAGAGGGCAGTGCAGTGAAATCCATTGTTGTGCTATACTTGTAGGTTCACGTCGATGTTCTCTGCCCGCACTAATCATCGCTGACTGGTGCAGTTAAGTTTTCTCATTAACCCCCGCGACCTGCACAGTGTGGGGGGATGCCCTCATGCAGCAGTGGATGTGCAAGCAGGCCGTATATGGACAACATCTCATCATTGCTCTAACTGGAGAGTGGAGAATACTTTCGATTTAAAGCTTTCGTGACTGCAGTGATTCATATTCTTGGTTCTTTTGGTAAAGTCACGTTGAAGGGAAACAACAAAATAATAAAATATATATATATAACAATAAAATTCTCACGACGTTTCGACTGCAACACAAGCAGACATCATCGGGTGTGAAAACCAACGGCAAGAACATTTGAAATGTTTTATATATATTTTATTATTTTATTGTTTCCCTTCAACGTGACTTTACCGAAAGAACCAAGAATATGGAGAATACTTGTTCAGGTTTTGGTAGCTGTATGCAATAACTTGCTGTAACAATTAGGCACCCCTCCCTGATCCAATAAAGATTGAATTATAGCCACAGGTTAATCAGATTGCAACATTCCACGAGGATTTACATGATTATACATTCTTACATGACCGTTTCCGTCTCAACTGCAAGATGTTTTTTTTTTAACCAAATGCTCACTTGCCTATTCGGAAACGTTAAAGGTTTGGATTCTTAGAAACGGTCTAAAAATATCTGTTGACAAAAAATATTCGAATGTGTGCGCTGGTACCTTTCATGGTGTTGCTTTAAACAGCTGAACATTTGTTTAAATGGAGCTGGGCATGTGTTTCGCAGGTGGATAAGAACGCAGACCGGCTGGTGAGCCTGGAGGAATTCTTACAGTCAACACAGACGAAGGAGTTCACCGAGCCAGAGGGATGGGCGGTAAGTGCGTGTGTGCGTCTGTGCGCGTGCAGGCACACACACACACACACACGCGCTCGGTCCTGCATGCGGCCATCTGCGATGTGCACGTGTGTGTTTCCGTTTGCACAGGTGCGTTGGTGTTGTTGCATATGTTGGTTGGGGTTTTGTGTGTGTGCATAATCGAGCAGTGGAAATTGGTTGGTTTGTGTGTATATTTGCATGTTTAAACTAATTTTACGATGGGGACATATCCAAATGTCCTTGATACCCCGTTCTAAACGATAACACATCCATCCCATTAATGAAATCATAAACTGCACAACGACCTTTGGCTTTCTGAACCCAAAGCCATTCTTGCCTTGTGTGCAAGTGTAGCATTGCATGCATTTGTGTGCATTTATTTCACGTTCCCATGTTTATGCACAGAGGATTATTGTATATGTGTTCCTATGTTAAGTTGATGATGGTTCATTACTCATCGTCTTCCTGTTTTGTTCCAAACCTGTGTAAATAATGCACGCATGCATAGGTTTGCATGTATGGATGCGCTTTACCGTTTTAGGCAGTGAACCCTTTAACAAGTGATTCATCAACACAGGTTCATGGCACAGCTGCGTTGTAAACGTAGATGTGCAGGCCTCTCAAGGCTTGGTGCATACATTGAGCAGATTTGCCCTGGGGCTTTTTAAATAACCTTATTGTTCAAGATCCATCAAGTGCAATATATTTATCGTGCTACCATTGGCTTTCATTTCATGCAACAGCCATGATTAAGCTCCATTTGAAATGTAAAGGGAAACACAAACTAATAATTGTCGATCGTCAAAGCTTGATTGCTTTGCAAGCACAGATTGGAACTGTACTCCTTTGCACCGTCTTTACCTCTTAACAGGCCTTAGTTTTTTTTCATATTACTCACTTTGTTGCAGTTGTAAGTGTTGTAGTTGTCAACAAAATATAAGATCGATTTCTCAGTTCATAGAGCATGGTGTATGTTTAAAGGTCGAGCACAAGACCCAAAAGAACATTGAGTCTTTTTTAAATATCCATGCTCGACAAGTCTAACATACATGCATACAACTGATTAATATGTATGGAACACTGTTCACATGCCCAAGCCAGGGAAATACTTGGGCTCACAAATTTGATTGAATCAGATACCGTTATGTTTTCTCACCTTGATATAATTCTATTTGTTCCATTTCGCAAAATAAAATAAAAATATTACTGTCATCTTTCTTACACGCTTCCTTCCACCGTACCTCTGATTATCACGGTTGGTTACCTCCAGTGCGAAGAAGTTTAACATGCACAATGATCTTGTGGAGAAGCCTCTTTGAAAATGAACAAAAACAGTAATTTAACAAGGACTTATTTATTTGCACTTTTGCATGTTCCAACAACCAACTCAGTCCGTTGAAGGCCTCGATCAGCATTCGCGAAGTAACTTTACAGCTGCAGATATACATATTGCCACACTACCTGCTTGATAAGCTGATGGCTAAGGTGTCCCGGAGTGTCATTCCAAGCATGCGCCTCCCCATGCTTTGTGCACTTTTCAGATGTTGTTTCATTTTCTTTGTCATTGCCCATGTTATTGATGTTGATTTGAAGCTTCCGTAACTGCAGGAATCTATACTCTTTGGTTCTTTCGGTAAAGTTACGTGACTTTACCGAAAAGAGCACGTGATATAGTTGATAGCCGGTGATTATTTCCCAGAATTGAGAGTTGTTCGAGAATGAGTTTGTATTACTCACCTTCCCAGCAGTGAATGTTTGTGTGTTTTTGTTTCAGCAAGCAGTGGCCTAATGACAGAAATATATTAACCAAATATAGCACAAACACCTGGCAGGTTTTAGCTAAATTGTACAATACACGTTCATTCAGACGATTTAAAAACATTTTCAGTTGACACAAACCTAAGTAGTGTGTATTAGTAAGCATTAAAATAGGTAGCACATGTGTATGATTTTTTTTCACGTGTTATGAAGTTTACAGAATGTAGACGTGGGTCATTCCTGCAGGAATCGTATTTTATTACTGCTATTCCATTCTGCATGATTCTCTCAGAACTTAAAATTCCCCTTTGAGTGAAAAATCGGGTCTTCCCTTCGTGCCTGAACTCCACGCCAGAAGTTTGGTGGAATGAAACCAATTTCACCCAGAAGTTCCAATGGATGTTCTTGTTGATACTGGCTGGCTGTTATCCGGTTCGATTTGAGCTGCTCGGCATCGCCACAAACGACCATAGGTTTCAATCGTGACAAATGGTGGTGAAGGTGTTGTGGTTGAAATGTATATTACATTGGCATCGTACATGTGTTCCAATGGTGAGTCTGCGAGGCTCGCCAGAGCCTTGTCTTGCCTGAATGTCGAGATGAGCTTCTGCGCTCCCTGTGCACCGGAATTGGGGTGGAATCAGGCTCCACTTGGCAGGCTAAGTCCCATGGTTCCCTCCTGTCTTACCTGAGTGCCACACCAAGCTCAATACTACCCCCCCCCCCCCCATACAATTCTGCTCATTCCACGATCCTGTGATGAATTGTATTTGATTCACGTAATGACATAATTCCAAGTTTTTACTGGTAGGAACCTCCTGGTTACACCGGCCCACAGGGGATTATTGTGTCCGTCGTGCATCCAAAAATGAGAGGGGTGGGGCTGGGTGGAGAGGGTAGGGTGGGGAGGGGCTGGGTGGGGAGGGAGGGGAGGGGCTGGGTGGGGAGGGTGGGGCTGGGTGGGGGGGTGGGAGGGGTGGGGCTGGGTGGGGAGGGGCTGGTCACCCCGTGGTGCCCTTATAAAACTCAACGTTTAACCTACTCACGCCGGCTTGTGCCCGCCCTCACAGTCGGGCATATTTGCAGAATACACCACGCCGCCGTTGACCCTGGCCACTGACCGAGCAACCCAACGTTCCTACCAGCTCCCTCCGCAGGAATGTTTTAATTGGTGAGAATTGTCCAGTTGACAGTTTGCGCAATAAAACCTCTCCTTTCCTGTACTTTGCACTCATGTCATGTTTTCGTATTGTTTGTTGTAACTTTCTGACCTGCTCCTACTGAACATCTGTGAAAAAGAGCGTTATAGCTCATCAGATTCCTCCAGTATAAATACAAATTCTGAATTGGTGGGGAGAGCCTTTCTGGTTCTGGGAAACGTTCAACGTACTACAAATAATCACATATTTTGGAAGAAACGACAATTGCGATTAATTTAATACGTAATAAACAACAAAGATATTAAATTAACACTGAATAACTATTCGATATATATTTTGCAATTTCACAACAAATTCACTGTTGATGGCATTTACTGCGGGTTGCTTCAAAATCACTGTAAAGCAGAGGATGAAGGGTGAGGTTCACTCGGTGTGGAAGGTGAAATGGAATGTGATGAGCGTTAAATAATTTATTTTGTTTATTAAAAAAAATAACTTGAAAAATATCACAGAGCACCAACCAGATCCCAAGCCATCCAAGGACACATGTTTATTGGATACTATACAACAGATAAGCTAATTTCTTTATAATTACTAGTCCACATATGTGCATAGTCTCATACCACCCCCAAACTGTGAACTTTGTTCTGGTTGGAATTTTTCTTTTTAGGAAGCCTTCTACCTTATCCTGAATTCCAGCTTACTGGCAACCAGCTTTTAGTTATACTGGATATGTTATGACCTCACGGGTAAAAAATAATTGTTCAAATTTTCAATAACCCGATTAGACGTTTGGGTGAAATGAACCACTGCTTTAAATTATATTTTTATATCTATAAACATAATTTTATGCACATGTCGTGCTTTGTACGTAACGGGTCCCGTAAACTGTATACATTTATCACCTACACAGCTGCACTGCCTTGGTGGATCTCTGCAGCTAGTTGGGTGGCCAACAGCAAGACGGATCACATATTGGTCAGGAAAGGAAGGTGGAACACATTTTCTTTTGCATGGTATAAACACGAAGATTTATGACTACCATTAGCATCTTGTAAATGGAAGTTGTATCCTGTTAGTATTACTCTATGCCGAAAACTCTGAATCCGATGTATAATTGTGTTTGTTTACAAAAAGTTTGTTAAAGATTGCATCGGATTTTGTGGTCATTGTCAATATATAGTGCTGATAGCCCAGCCTATGCTTCAGATGTTCATAGGGTTTCTTGTCAGTCGATTGGCAATGAAAATAAAATGGATATCGTTCATAACTGTGATTGATACTTTCTCATGCCATAATCTAAAGCTACTATGTTCACCGTGCAATACTTCTCATTTAGTTTAACCACACTGACAGCTCTTACACAAACCCTAGCCACATCCAAATGTTGGCACAGGAGTTACTTCCATGTGTTATTATTCGTGTCTCAGACACATGAACTTTGGCATGTGATACAGGCTATACTTTTATAATGTAACAGCATGACATTGCATAATAATGGCATTTTAATTTTGAAAGTGTTCCGTTTAATTTCCATTCCCAGTTGGTTTATAATTCCGTTATGTCCTTTTTTTCTGACATTCTTTAGTGCAGACTGCAATGATGGCCAGTGTCAATATAGAAACCAGCAGGAACATTTCATAAGCCAACTGTTAACTTGAAAAAAAATTGTACATATCCTTTAGTTCAGTATGCATTTTTCCATAAGAGGGACAAATTATCGGTGGTTTGTAAAAACATACACTTGTGGTTATATTCTTCACAGCCCATTGTTCACAATGTGTGAACATTGCATCCCACTTTTCACTGCACTGGTATAACACTTACAAAGCGGTGCAATGTAAACTCCATTTCAAACTCACAGACACAAGCCTGATCAAATAAATAATAAAATATACAGGCAGGTTTCTTTTTTCATTCCAATAAAATAGTAACGTTTAAGTTGTATCAGCCAAAAGGTCTTCGAGACTCATGTTTTCCATCAGCATTTATTTAAACATAAAAACCCTGAAATAGGTTTGATTTGTTTAGTCTTATCAGCCGGATATAGCCTTTAAAAAGGGCGACTAGCTCGCCTGG